TCAGAGATTCTGATTTAATTTGCATAGTGTGAATTCTTGTCTCTCCAAGGATTAGCCTCATCCATTAGGTTATGTTTGGTCAATTATGATCAAATAGAGTGATGGCATTCCAATAAAGCTTACATTTAAAGATGATTTTTAGTATTGAGGTTCTTTTTTACCTATTCCTCTAAACTCAGGACCTTATCAGATTTATGCTCCATGATCATCAAGGGTATCTTCTGCAGATGAACACGAATACTCCATGAGTGCCTCAACAACCTGCTCATTGTTTGCTTGGGGAAAGGAAAAATTGGTTTCATTGGGTACAAGATCTGGATGTTTCTATTTTTTTAAATAAGTTAACCTAATGGATTCAAACATTTTATTCATGTGAATGCAGATATAAATACATTTATTCTCCAGTGTTTTTCAACAGAGAGAAGGAACGAAAGGTTTAAAGAACAACTTGCAATAAGCACTGAAACACCCTTAAGTGATCTTAACTAAGGCTGCTTAATTTCCAGACACTAGCAAACTATTCACTAAGAATTACTGCCCAGGTCCCCAGTTTGTAAAGTTTCATCCTTGCATTCCCACAGTAGTTGAGTGCAAGTCTGAAGTGATGATGGGCATTACTAAAATAGCCGTTTTCCTATACAACTCTTATGTCCATATGTAATATTTTCTTCAAAATTTAAGGACAAAAGACTATAGTTTAAGTCACATCCTCTTCAAAATCAGGAATAACAATGAACAATAAATTTGTACACTTTAAACATACTTTCAAAAATAAAGGGAAATTTTATAATTTTTTTCAAATAATTTTAAACTTGAATTTTGCAAAGCTTGTTTACATTTATGAATTTTCTTTAAAAATGTAGTGCAGAAAACAGACTTTGTGTTAAAATCAAGAAAATGAAGTCATAATAAAAACACTAAGATTTCTTTAGGATTCTGTAGAAAACTGAAGCCAGTGGGCATTACAAAGAGTACTAGGTGGTGTGCTACCCTGAGGTTAGTCATTTAACCTTCTGAATTTATTTCATATTTAGTTTCTTTCTAGAATTGTAATAGTGATCATTATCTACCCTTTTGTGAATCTTTCCCTTTTTATTGGTGATAAAGCATTCCCTTTGAAAGTTTCAAGGAAAACATTTTAGCTTAGCAATACAATAGAGAATTTTTAAGTAATTTGTCAGGAAAGTGACACCAGTAAAATTTCCTAACACTACCTCTCAAAAAAAAATCTTTACTATTCAATAGTTTTCTTAGAAAAACGGTATTACTATGTAATTCTGCAGCAGAAAGATATTGTTGGCATTTTCTGTTTCCATTTTTTTCTCCTTCTGTGAATTACAGTAATGAGTCAAAGTCCAATTGGAAAAAATGCCTATAAAATCCAATATAAAGACATCAGATGTGATAGAATTCAGCTGATATATAATAGCAATCATGGTAACTTTCCTGAGCTTTATTGCCAATTTTGCACAGAACAAATAAGCATTTATGAAAAATATAAATCCAGTAAACCTGTAGTGAAATAGTGTAGTAGTGATATATTTTGCTTGTGGATAAAATTATATTTTATGCAAATGAGTAAAAAAAGTAAGATGCTTAGAATTTTTTCAAAGTGAAATGAGGGGCCATTAAAGAGTTTTAAGTAGGGGGTGACATGATTGAATTTATGTTTTAAAAAAATCAAGGGCCGGCCCGGTGGCGCACTGCTGCAGTGCGCCACTTGGGAACGCGGTGGCGCTCCCGCCGAGGGTTCGGATCCCACATACAGAC